AAAACACTTTAAAATATTGTTAGCATGCTTTGTCAGCTCTAATTATAGACTCAAGTTGTACTACAATATGGTAATTTTGAAAACCCAGTCCTTGATTCTGCTACTTATATTAAAAGTAGATACTACTCCAAAGATACTTTAAAAGACAGAAGACCTACCAATAAGCTGGGAATCAGTACCTCTGGATTGTCTGTCTGTTTTCTGGAGGAAAGGCTGTTTGAATGTTTTGTTTTTAAAGTAGCTTACTTCTTCAAAGGAATGGTATACCTTACTAATCCACAGAGAACACTCATATGGTGAAAGAGGGAATTTATAGAAATCAGCCCTAATACAGCCAGTTTCAGAATGCAATTCTTCAACAACCTTTTTTCTTTTAAAATTTACCTCACTATTCTGGCATATCTGGAAGATTTAAGTATAAAATACAGCTTAAAGATGATAAAATGCTGAGACAAGAGAAAATGACCATAAAACTAGGAAAGTCAAAGCAAGGCTCCAGGCAAAAGCAGGGAGGAGCACACATTTAGCTAATGGCAGCAAAACAGCAACACGACCTTCCAAGAATAAATTATCACCTCTGATCAGTGCTTCCAGAAACATGGAGGCGAAAAGTCTGTGCTAGCACTCTTCCATAGAATTTGACAGCCTGGAGAATCCTGTCTAAAGCGATCATTTTGTCAATCTGACAACCAGTTTTGACCTGTAAGACAGTTACTCTAATACCAACACATGACTGTCTGTTTCTTTTCTAATAAATCAAAGCACCTAAGTAAGATTCAGGGAGAGTTACCTGTGGGACATCTTAAGCTGCATCAGTGTCAGGCTCTAAGAGTCTAAAAAGTAATGAAAGCTGTTACAGTTAGGAGCCTCCCTCTAAGTTTCATTTAAAAACATTAAAAAAAAAAATAACTTAAGTACAACTTGAATAGAATTACTGTATTTGCTTTTTTCCAGAATTGCCTTTAGTTAATAACTCAGGAACTGAGTGATTTTTCATTATCTTCCACTCAAAACCACATTGACAAAAAGAGCACTAATCTTAAAAAAAATTACAGCCTGGCCAGGCATGGCTCAGCGGTTGAGCGTCGACCTAGGATCCAGGCGATCGAGGTTCGATTCCTGGTCAGGGCACATGCCCGGGTTGTGGGCTCGATCAATGACTCTCTCATCATAGATATTTCTATCTCTCTCTCTCCCTCTCCTTTCCTCTCTCTGAAATCAATAAAGATATATATATTAAAAAAAAAAAAAAATTACAATCCTTTAGTCAAAAGAAGGAGGAACTACTATAAAAGCACAAACAGAGTTAAGAAGGTCATGACCGGAGCACTTCTGTGTATCCTATCCACTCAGTGATCCAATCAAATCTAGTTATAAGGTGAAACTGGTTTGGTTTTCTAACTATCAGCGGTATTCAGGCTAAACCTTGGCATTGGAAAGTCAAATTTCCAGTCCTTACTTAACCCCATCAAATTTCCAGCCCTTACTTAACCCCTTTTCATGTTCTAAAATAAAGTATGATTGTGAAAAAAATCTACTCCTGTTTTTGCTGTATACAACAGAGGATAGTGGGCAATACAATTATTTCATTTTCTTTCCTTATAAACTTCAGCCCAAAATCTATAAACAGTGAATCAGCACTACATAGCCAATGGAAATAAATATGTGAACTTAAGTAATATGTGGAAAGACTAGTAAAAAGAAAGAACACAAAAAATGATATAAACTAAAACCAAGTCAAGTTATCTAATCGATATATGTCTACAAATGGTTTGGAAGCATGATAAAAAACAGTTGAAATTGTTTATGACAAGGATTTCTCTTTTTCTATACAGCTGTTTAACTGTGCAAAACATTTATTTTTTAAAAAGAGGCCCAAACTACAGAATTTCATGAAGTATAGAAAGTATCTGAGAGCTCTAAAAAAGGGCCAAGGAAGTATCTTTAGAACTTCACATTGATACTATTTTTTGTTTTATAAAGAATGAAAAAGTCTCGAGATTCCTTTAAAAATACAATAAAAGGGAGAAGACGTGCTTTTACAGTGCAGATAGATCCTCTTCTGTACCAACAATGTCTTAGGCACTCTGAAAGCTCAGCTATCTCACAAAAGGCCAATGATGTCTCTAAATGGCTGTGGGCTTCTGCAACTTCTGGCTAGAAGAGGTAAGCTGGGAAATTTATCCCTGAAAGAATAAAAACCCCATTTTCTCTGGCAGCTTCATCTGGATTCTTTCTTGGCAGAAAAGTTGGAAATTCTTGAAATGGTGGCTATTTCAATATTTTGTTACATTTTGCTCCAGCAGTACAAAAGCTCTCCTTCACTTTACATAGCTTTATGAAATGCAGAACGATTTTGATAGCTTTGTCAGCTTTTCTAACTTCTAACCAAATGTCCTCTAATATAATAAAAACTACTTTCTGACCCCAGCACTCTCCCTGGAAGTGCTCCTAGTGTTCCAATCACCTGAGTTAGCAAATAATTATTGAAAGCAAGACTTACTTTCCATCATCCCTCCCAAGACCTGGCTGTACAGGCTACAGTTATTTCTGCATTATCAGTAAAGAAATGAATCTTGTGGATGGAGAGCCTTGGCTGACCCCCAACACCATCCCCCTGCATGCCCAGTTCTGGGGTGGCCATGTGGTCAGAGTTCATCTACAACTTCTGGTGGAACCAGGGAGAAGAGAAGGCCACCTTTCCCACTCTGCTTGCTACTGTAAAGATAGTAAGCCTGAAGCTATGATGGCTCACATGGAGAGAGCCTGCCCAAGAGTGAAGCCAAAACGAAGGGAAGCACTGTTGAAAAATGGAGAAAAACTGAGTGCAGGAGACTTGATCCAGCTAAGTCTGAAGCTAGCACCACCTGTGGTTTTTTTGGTTCTATGAGCCAATGGGTGTGTAACTCCACCCCCACCAATTTATATTCTTTGAATCAAATTGAATTGATTTTGCCCTTTGAATGGAAAGAGTCCTATCCCATATCAGTTAAGATGTTTTTGGCTGCAAGTAAAAGAACACCTGATTAAAAATGGTTTAAACAATAGGTGTTTATCATCTCATATAACAGGCAGCTCTGAGATAGGTAGCTATCAATTCAACAAAACAAAAATGCAGTCAAGACTAGACTTCCCATCTGTCCCCCTGGCAATCCTTAGCATTCTGGCTTTTGTCTTTGAGCCACAGGGACAGCAAGGTGGCTGCCAGTGCTCCAGACATCACATCCTCACACAAGAGCACTGAAGAAAGGGAGAATTACATTTTTTATCAGAGAAGAAAAGATTTTTTCCAACCCACTACTGAGCATCTTTCCCATTGGGCTCACTGGCTAGAATTGGATTTCACACCGCCCTGCTGCCTCCACCCTCTTTGGCATAGAATGAAATTACTGTGATAGCAAAGACCAATCTCGACTTGAGCACAGTGTGGAAAGACACCTGATCAAAATAAGGGCTCTATTTTCAAGAAGTCAGAAATGGCTCTTGGGTAGGCAACCAACAACATATGCTGTAAGTCCTAATACAAGCACTGCTGGTGACTGACCTGCAGTTACTCAAACATTCAAGAGACAGTGGAGAATCTGACATTCCAAACCAAGTGATAAGAACCATTTTAGTTTCCATGTGCACACAGCTAAGTACACACCAATGATATTACTCTTAAGAAACTATGAAAACTGACTGCAAAACTGTAAATTCCTTGGAATGTTTTTTTTTAAGTCTTTACTGAAATACCCCCAGAATAACAGGTATCAGCTATGAAGGTTATTTTCAACATGCCTAATATTGCGAAAGGAATGTTAACGAGCGATCCTCCCATTCTTAGAGCTCTAAGGCTATCTTCTTAGCTAAGGTTGTCAGAATCTGCCAGGAAGTACAGCTAAAGAGCCTACTAAATGGAGAACAGAAACTCTTTTGAGCAAAATTGGTTTCCAACTCTTTACTGAAGATCATCTCTATACAGTGGTGCTTCTTCCTTCAAATATGGCATCACTGGGAGTCATGAGGCTTAAAGGAGATGGCAATGTGAAAGTTCCTAGGTCAGAACTTGGCACTTAGTAGTACTGTGAAGTCCAGAGAAAATATAAAAGGGGCTGAACCAGGGCAATAGGAACAAAGGTGGTGACAGGGGGAAGGAGAATGAACAGAGTCTGAGAGTTCATTTCCAAAGCTAACCTAAACCACAGCTATATTGTGAAAGAATTACTAAATATATTAAACAAGATCTACAAGGCAAAGAAAATTAATTTACAGCATCAGTGGTAATATGAAAAAATTAAATATCATCAGTAGGCTACAATATAATCTGATGAGAGCTTTAGCTGAACTTAGTGAGACCTTATTTACTATGCCTTAAGCATCCCAACTGCATTTTCCTCTTGATCTTAATACTTACTGAAAATAAGGTCTCTCCCTCTTCCCCCACTAACCACTTTAATGAACATGCATGTGAGCTCACACCTATTATTAGGCCAATTCACTCACTCTAAATAGAAGCTAATTATCTTAAGAGTTAATTGCCACAGGAAACAAAAGAGAGAAATTCGAGGTAGAATGAAATGCTCTCTGAAGACTTTAGATCTGACTCTGACATTAAAGTGAGCCATTTCTCTTTCCTAAACTATAAAGTGAAAGCCCCTTTTGGCTGTAAAATTCAGTGACACTATGAGTTAAAGTGTCAATTACTTGCCTTAGGTTCAGCTGGATGTCAGCATAGCCTAGCAGCAGAGGTCAATGTGCCCAAATGTGTTCTAGAAGTAGAAAAGGCATTCAAGCTGTACAGAGGAGTTTCTATGTGACCTTCATGAGGTCATCAACCCTCTCTGAGCCAGTGTCCTCACCTGTAAAATGGGATCATAACACCTCATGGTAGGTTGCAGTGAAGATTAAATGAGATCAGGTATGTACCACATCTTTTGTGGTTCCCAGGAGTGGGAGGCACTAAAAAAATGACAGTTATTGCTACTGCTTTTATTATAGACCCACCAATAAGCACTTACCTAAAGAAACAACAGCAACACTCTCTGGCAAGAAATGTAATCGGTATCGAATCAGTAAATGCACCAATATGATGCAGATAGCTGTGGGAAAAACAAGACATGGTTAAAAGAGCCCATTTTAAAATGATAAACACCAAGTTCAAGGCAATAGTTACTTTTAGAGGGCTGCCAGGGAAATGGACAACTGTCAATGACACCTTAAACTTCAGCGTTTTTTTTCAATCTCTTTTCTTAAACTGGATTCGCAGTGTTTATAACATTTTCTCTATACTTCCTTACATCTAAGAGCATCAGACTCCTACTTTTTTCCTAAGCTGTTAAACCTTATACAACCATTTAAAATTATTCAAACTTCCCTGATTCTAAGAAATGGGCCTCAACTTTTTTAAGTAGTCATCAACTAGAAAACTCTAAATACTGAGGAGCATGTCAACAAAATCAATCACTTTTACGTAACTACAGCAGAATATGCTGACACAAAAGTATTTTGCCATCCCATGACTGGTTCTCTCTTAACATAGAAGTGAGGGTATTTTATAAACAGAACAAAGTAAATACTTTGTTTGGTAATAAGAACATCAGAGACCTAGAGATGGGGCACCTGCTCTCCAGCTGGGTACTGGAGCTCCCACTGGCTGAGGGCTCCCCATGAACCAGGCACTGTACTGAGCACTTCCAAATGCTGTCTCACTTGACACCGCCCCCCCCCAATGCCCCTTTTAACTAGCTATTATTACCATTATCTATTTGATTCTAGATGAGAAAACTGAGGTTCAGAGATCAGTTCACTGGTGGGTGCTGCAGGGTGGAGCTAGATTCCAATCCTGTGCCCTTACCCTTAAGCACCCCCCACCTCCCTCCTGGCTGCCTTCATTCCTCAGTAGCTAAAACTCGAAAAATGTCTGACTTTCTTCACAGAGGGGTTATCATGAAAGAAAAGGAAACAAAATATAAAAGTATTTGACAGGACTAAGTATTTCTGGACTCCCCCCCTCCCCCCCAAAAAGCATACTTTTACATAAACAATTCCTAAATGTAATTTCATGGCCCAAACGTTAATATGCATGTTTCTGTTAGGCATATAGGTGATACCATGTCATCAATCACAGTATCATCTTAATACTAAAAATAATTTTGTTGTTTTTTTTGTGTAAAAATAAATGTTTAAATAATCTGCATGGCTGTTAAGTGGCCACTCTCAGAACCCACATTGACAAATTAGTTATCTTTAGTTCCACCAAAAAGCACCAGGTGGCCAGAGAAACAGTTATAAATACAGAAATTCTGTCTCCCTTTCATTCTATGCTCTCAACTATCAATCTGTGGTGTTATTATAAATATTTAACCTAGTTAGAAAAATCCTACATTAAATACTAAGAGCAAGAAAAAAGTCCTAATGCATAATTATAACATGTGACAGAAGCATGCTACTATCTAAAAAGGCAGGCACCTACGTAGATGATAATAAATTAGGGAGCTGAATCAGTTTCTGCTCTTTCTTTGTACCAAGCTGGATGAAAAAATTAATTTAAAACATTTATTCTCATAAATCAAACAACCACTTGCACCTTTCAGAGCAAAGGGGGAAACTATCAACAGAGAGCTAAATATAGGACTCAAGGAAGGTCTTCAGCCATTAAAAAGAATGAGGTCTGAAAAAATGATACCACAGAATGAGAGAAAATATCTGCCAATCAGATATCTGATAAAGGTCTGGCATCCAGAATATATAAAGAACTCTTGGGAGGGGGTGGGTAGAGGTGGGGAGGGTATAGGGTGGGTATAGGGTGGATAAAGGAGATGGAAAACAAACTTTTAAGTACACAATAATTGCTATTATTACATTTTAAAAAAAGAGCTCTTACAACTCAACAAGAAGAAAAACAACACAATTTTAAAATGAGCAAAGGGCCCTGGCTGGTGTAGCTCAGTGGTAGAGGGTTGACCCACAAACCAAGGGTCTCAGGTTTGATTCCCGGTCAAGGGCACGTACCTGGGTTGCAGGTTCGTTCCCCAGCCTTGGTTGGAGCACATGCAGGAGGCAACCAATTGATGTGTCTCTTTCCCTCTCTCCCCCTCCTTCCCTTCCACTCTCTCTAAAAAAATCAATGGAAAAATATCCTCGGGTGAGGATTAACAAATAACAGTAAAAACGAACACAGGACCTGAACAGACTTTCCTTCAAAGAGTTATAAGTGACTAATAAGCACATGAAAAAATGCTTAACATCATTAGTCATTAGCAAAATGCAAACCAAAGCTACAATGAGATACTACTTCCCATCTGCTAGGATGGCTATAATTAGAAAACAAAACAAAGTGAAAAATAAAAGTGTTGATAGGAATGTAAAGAAATTGGAAGCCTTGGGCCTTGCTGGTGGGAATGTAAAATGGTGCAGCCTCTGTGGAAAAGTCTGGTAGTACCTGTGAAAGTTACACAGAGAGTAACCACTTCTGGGTATATATCACTGTTTATACAAGAGAAATAAAAACTTATGTCCACACAAAAATGTGTACACAAATGTTCATAGCAGGACTATTTACAATAGTCAAAAGGTAGAAACAACACAAATGCCCATCAACTGAATGGGTAAACACAGTTGGGTATCCTAACAATGGAATTTTATTCAGCCATACAAATAAATTCTAACACATGCTACAACATGGGTGAGCCTTGAAGACATGACGCTAAGTGAAAAAAGACAGACATAAAAGATCATATAAAATAGTTTGAGTAGGTAAATTCTTAGAGACGGAAGGCAGAATTATGTTTACCAGAGACTTGGGGGGTGGGGCAAATGGGGAGTGAATGCTTTTAATGGGTATTGGGTTTCCTTTTGGGGTGATAAAAATGTTCTGTAACTAAATAGTGGTGATGGTTGCACAATATCGTGAATGTAGTAAATGCCACTGAATTGTACACTTTAAAGTGGTAAATTTTATGTTATGTTTATTTTTAGCACATACATATCCTTTAAAAAGAAAAAAAAGGATGAGGTATATAAAAAACACTAACATAGACCTCCAAGACATCCTGTGAGATGAAAAAGCAAGCTATAGGACCCCATTTACACTGAAATAAACTACACTCCAAGCTATATGTGCTTGTACATGTGAATGTGCTCATGAATGTACAAAAGTATATACACAAATGTAAGTACATGTTTCCAAGTACACTTGGGGGAGGGGAAGCAAGAAGGTCCAAAAACTTCTATGTGGCATGGAGGGTATGCATACCACAAGTTAATGCGCTTCCAACGTTTCATGCCTGAAGCAATAATTATGTAACTATATTAAAACATAGACATGCCAATTTTAATAACTCCAATAAATTTAATGGCTATAAAATGTATGTGTCAAATGACGCTAATTGCTAACTCTAGTGCAAGTCAGTAACAGTGACGCACCCCTGTTTCTGCAGAGTCAAAGGTCAGCAAGGGTTAAGCATATATAAGTCAACTGATTCCAAACTTCTAAAAGTCAAGAGTTTTGGCGCCTATTCTCAATACAGGGGAACACAATGTAATCCTTTCACATCCTTATGGGGCTCAAACATTACAATTTCATTTGATTTGACTAACGTAGTAAACAAAAGTGGCAAATGTGTTCCAGGTTAGTAGTTCCTGAAGTCTAGAATGAACTATAGACTGATGACTTGCCTCAATTCAACAGAGTTCATGCATTCAGTGAGTTAACAAGTTACCTATTAACAGTATTTTTTAAAACTTTATCAGACAAATCTAATCAGGAATATATAAGACATGTATTATCTTCATAATATATAAGATTAGAGGAAAAATGCCTTCAAATTTACTTACAAAGAAGCATTCTGTTCTGCTAACGCATGTTGACCTACACATAAAAAGTGAAGATACCAACTCATAAACTGCCAAGAATCTGATTAGGTGAAAATGGGACCCACGTGACATTAGTGCGACATTAGTGGGACTTCAGAGTCCAGGTTTATGATCTGTTTGAAGAGAAGACAATCCAAGAGAAATATGCAGCACTATTAAATACAGTTCAGTCCCTGCTGGCCCCAAACATGTATTAACACTGGGTAGAATTTTGCCTAGATGAAAAAACACATTATAAAAACCTGTTTTGTGGTCTTTGGCACGAAATAACCTTAAATGCTACACACCCTGAAAATTACTTTGAAAGTTTTACTTATGCTTTTCACCCTCCTGTGAAAAAAGTGATTACAAAACACAAGTTTTTTTTCCAGGCCAGCCTTTTATATTCTCTAATTTATCAAGCTGACAACAATGTAAATAGATTAATAATACTTCAGGATTTAAGGAACCAAAGAGTTCTTCATCAAGAAAAGAACTGCTTTTCTTCTTTGTATTTGGCTACTATAACAAAAGAAAAAGAAAAATAAACCCCTAGAAAGAGAATTTAACTACATTTACAGGGTAAAAATTACCTGGGCATATTAAATCTATATGGGACATTGTACACTTGAGCACTGCTGGTGGGAATGTAAAATGGTGCAGCCTCTGTGGAAAAGTCTGGCAGTACCTGAGAAAGTTACACAGAGAGTAACCACTCCTGGGTATATATCACTGTTTATACAAGAGAAATAAAAACTTATGTCCACACAAAAATGTGTACACAAATGTTCATGGCAGTCCTATTTACAACAGTCAAAAGGTAGAAACAACACAAATGCGCATCAACTGATGAATGGATAAACACAATTGGGTATCCTTACAATGGAATGTTATTCAGCCATACAAAGAAATACAATTCTAACACATGCTACAACATGAGTGAACCTTGAAGACATGACGCTAAGAGGCCAGGTGTAACAGTTTTGTTGTATTTTTTTTTTTAATCTATGAGAGATAAGGATAAGCCCTAGAACCTTAAATAAAATTACTGTATTAATAAAATGGACTATAAAAGAGTCTGAATATAAGTGTGAAAGTGACACTTCCTCTCAAAAAACACTCTTAATAGACATCAGAGAAATACTCTGCACCTTTAAATCCAGTTCACTTTACAGCTAAATCCTTTCACTTTTCTGAAAATATCTAATTGGAAATATGACTATCATTAAAGAAGAGAGGAAAATGTAAATGTGCCAACTTCACTTTTCAGATGAGAGTTTGGACTTGGGTCAAATTCTAACTATTTCTTCTGTAGTCAGCTAATCCAAAGTGGTTATGCCCGGCCGGCATGGCTCAGCAGTGGAGTGTTGACCTAGGATCTAAGAAATCAAGGTTCAATTCCCAGTCAGGGCACAGGCCCAGGTTGTGGGCTTGATCCCCAGCAGGGGGCATGCTGGAGGCAGCCGATCAATGACTCTCTCATCACAGCTGTTTCTATCTCTCCCCTCCTCTCTCTGAAATCAATAAAATGTATTTTTAGAAAACCAAAAAAACAAACTGGTTGTGCAGTTTCAATGAGATTTTCCATGTTTGTTAAACACAGTTGTCTACTGTCTACACTCTGAGAGGCTCTGAACTTAATTAATGCCTTTTATCTAAACTTCTTGACTGGTATCTGGTAACCTGGATATTAGTCTCTAGTCTCCCAAATCCCAGGTATGTCAAGTGATTAACCTCTCTGGGCCTAAATTTCCTCACCCGTTAAAGGAGGAGGTTGAATAAAATGAGATTTTAAGTTTGAGAGAGTGAACCTGTTTAAAGAAAAATATTACATTAAGTAAATAACAACACAGGTGGTATACAGATATGGTGAAAGTAATAACCATGGTTAATGGAATGATAGAGGTTAAGGACAACAGTGTGCTAGGGCAAAGGCATCTGATCTTTTCCTCAACAGCAAAACCTTTAAATAAAATTTTACATGAACGCTTAATAGATATGAGACAAAATTCTGCTCTGGTCAGCCAGATGCCCTACCATTTGACTCCCCCTACACCTGCCACCACCACCACCAGCTACCCCCACACAAAAACATACATACACACAAAAACACACAGACACTCCCATGAGCAGAGTTTGAAATCCACTATACTAGATGTTCAAGGCTCTCTCTAGGTCAAAAATTCTTTAATTCTCTCTTCCAAAGGGCATCTAAGATATTTCATATAGGGCTTTTCAGAATTGCTAAGTTCTATGATTTTACAAAGAAAAAGAGGTACCCTGTTATAATGTTATACACTGATCACTGTCCCTCAATGTCTAAAGTGAAAACCAAATGGAGGACTTGACAACGTAAACAGCGGTTTAAATAGGGCTAACCACACAGCACATACAGACACCAAGATGGCAGACAATGGTGAGTGCATTCACCTAGGACGAGGAGGCTGAAGAAAATAGTCATGCCACTTGACTGTTCCTCCTGCTGAGCCTGCTCCCCTGTCTGCACAGGGAGGATGGGTTTGGCAGGGGTCGGGAGCACCAATTTTGTAGTGACAACCAGGGCAGTGTGGAGGGTGACATTGAAACTTTCGTGAGTTGTGTTGGGGAACCTGTTGGAGGACACAAAAAGCAGAATTAGATAAAGGAAAAAGGGCCCCAAAGTATCAACACACAAAGCCAGAGAGAACTTGGCACAGAGCTCCACAGGAATAAGTCTTGCAACCAACAGGCAAGCCTTGGAGAGAAACTGATTAAGAAAAGTCCTGCCTGTTGCCACAGGATGGTACAAGCCCTCAGGAGCTTCTGAATGCAGCCACGTAGAGGACAGGAACAAGGGGCAATCAGAGCCAGTGTAGAAACCACATGCCGCCTGCTCTTTGGCTGTAACAGGGGATTTAAACAGAGGCAAACTGGAGTCTCATCACTTACAAAATCCAACATTATTTACTTGGCACCTTTAACTCTCCAGTTTACATTCTTTTCCTCGGATTATACCCAAAGCCACCTGACTTTGCGCAATTGGTGATCTGGTTGGAATGCCCTACCCTACTTTACAAAATCTTTCTCAGATTTCAAAAGGCTCAGTGCAACCTCCCCTGTAAGACCCCACTCCACTCCACCGCGTATGTTCCCCACAGCTCTTACATGTGTTGGGGTTGTACACTAGTGCAATATTGATAAAATAGTCATTGTAATTGTGGTAACAGCTCATGTTTATTGAGGCCTGCTTCATTCCAGGGACTAGGTAGCATACAACCTCTCATTTAATAAGCATAACATGCCTGAGGTGGATACTCTTACTTTCCCTTTTATACCCATGAACAACAGAGACTCAGAGAGGTTGCATAACTTGGCGAATGTCTCAGTTAGTCAGTAGCAGACTGAGCTTTGAGACTAAACTTGAAATCACTGGTCCATACACCTCTTTTGCTTTGTGCTGCTGAGGAACAGCTTAGTGTCTGGGACAAAGCAGATGCTTAATAAATAACGTGACTAAATGAAATGACCACCCAGCCAAGAAACATATCTGAGAAGTTGTCAGGTGAGGTAGTCATATTTCAACCATGGGATGCCCGGTGAATTTTTACATATCCATTCCACAAACATAGATAGGGCATCTATAATATGCAATACACTGTGCTCAGCAGGCATGGAGATGGACTAAGAGTGGTCCTTCCCCAGAAGTACCTGGAGGACAGGCACAGGGGTGGCCCCATCTCATCATTTATGGCTTCTCCTCCATGCTCTCTACACTCCAGCCACCCTGCCTGCCTTTCTGTTCCTCAAAGGCACTAAAGCTTTTCTTGCTTCTGGTCTCTTGCACTTGCTGTACCCTCTCCTATCCCTCCTTCTGCTCATTCAAGTTTCAGCTGGCACTGTCACTCCTTCCTGAGTGGACTCCTCCAACCTAGCACTGTTCCACTTCCTTCAGAGCACTGAAATCTTGTCTGTTTATGGTCTTTTCTTACAAGAAAGGAAGTTCCCAGAGGGCGGCTCCTAGGCTGCCTCCTTCGCTACTATGTGCCCAGGGCCTGAAACACAGTGGATGGACAAAAGTTAATGAATGAATGAAACTCAATGGAGATAGATGCGAAAAATGATCGTTACAGTGAAAGAGGCTAACTAGGGGGTGGGGGTGAGGGACTTCCTGGAGGAGGCTGAGCGCTCCGTAATCATCAGATGACCGAAAACTGAGAAAGGGAAGTTTGGGTTGCGTAGCTGCAAGAGGGCTTTCGAAGCCTGCGTTGGGCGAACGATCCCCAACCCGAGAGTCCGACCTAGAGGACGCTGCAAGGCCGGGCTGGGCCCAGGCCCGTCCCTCCCGCCCTCCTCGCGTGGGTCGGTAAGGTCAGTTCTGGCCAACCAGCACAAGGTGCTGCGCCTTCCGGGAACGGGGGCGGCCTGAGGCGCTTGCTGTCACCCGCTGGGGCCCAGCCCTGTTGCCTCCGCCGCCCCGGAAAAGCCCACTCACTCTTCTTCCGCCATCTTCTCCCCAATCCTGCGGAGCCTCCAAGACCACCAAGTTCGGAGCCGCGGGGCTAGCAGGGCCCGCTTTTGCTTCCGGCTTCCGCTGAAGGCGCCTGCCGGCCGACGGGTCGGGGGCGGGGCTTCGGCAGCGCCAGGGCAGCCCATCTATCCTATTGTCTCTATAGCCCGAGGGTGGGAGGGGGCCTATGGGAGGACTTTCACGGTCACTTCCAACACTTCGTGACCTTCTGGCCCCACGTGGTTTCAACTTTTCCTCGCTATAGGGAGGGACCTTTTAAGGGAAACTCCTGTGAAGTCACTGTGAGTCACCCTAGCTGAATTTTGGGAAGGAAGCTTCTAGCCTGGGCTGGGCAGAGGGACCCCAGGGATAAACTTCCCCAGTCTGAGCCTCAGATTTTCTCAGCTATAAAGGGGACTAGCAACCTGGGCTTTGCAGAAGTGTGCAGTATTCTCTCTGAAAACGTTTATTGAGTTCTGACTGTATGCCTATCATAAAAATAGGTGGTGATGATCTAGGGATGGATCATTGATTACTTTGATTCATTGACGCCTGGATGTGCCCAGCAGTGGTCCGTGGGGTTGGGGATACTGGGAGGAACAAGGTGAGGTTGGAGGAGTAAAGAGGGACCCCAGCTGGAGGGCTGGACTATATTATAAAGCTTGTGGATTTGGCACCACCTCTGTTGCTACCTCCTTCCTGGTCCAAGCCATCGTATCTCATAACATCTGCAAAGCTGCCTAAACCGCCTCTCTGACCCTGCCTTTGTTCCTGTGGTCTTCCACATAGCGGCCCCAGTGATCTTTTAAAACTCTGGTCACTCTACTCAAAACCTCCACTGGCTTCCAATCTTGATCAGAGAAAAAAACTTGCAATACTTACAGGACTCAACCCTACCCCTTTCCCCTCTAAGGTGGATCCCTTCTCCCCTTTCTGCACACTATCCACTGTGGCCGCAGTGGCTTTCTCAGTGTGCCTGAAACACACCGAGAAAACTGCCACCTCTGCACTGGCAGATCTTTTTGTCTAGAATACAGTCATGCCCTGCATAATGGCCTTTCAGTCAACAGTGGACCTCATATACGACCGTGGTAGGTTAGGTGTGCGGTAGGCTATACCATCTAGGTTTGTGTAAGTGCACTCTATGATGTTTGTACAAGGATGACATTGCCTAATGATGCATTTCTCAGAATGAATCCCTATTATTAAGCAGCACATGGCTGTACGCCATTGCCCATTGGCTTCCATCTTTTCCACTCTTGGGCTTTTTTTTAATTCTTACCT